GACGAGACAGCAGGCCACGCGCTGGGGAGTCCTTCCTGGTGAGTAGGCGCCCCACTTACCCAGAGCTCTCTGTCGTGCACATAACCATACCTGTTTGTTTTTTACAGGTTGCACCTCGTTCCCAGCATAAGGCGCTAGTAGATTCAGGCGCGGCTGGGAATTTTGTAGATCGTAAGTTTTGTAAAGAGTTAGGGATTCCTCTCCTTCCTGTTAAAGATCCCTTCCCTGTGCATGCCCTAGATAGCCGTCCGTTAGGATCGGGGTTGATTAGGGAGGTCACAGCGCCACTTAGGATGGAGACGCAGGGGGGTCATGAGGAGACGATTCAGCTATATCTGATTGACTCTCCTGCGTATCCGGTGGTGCTGGGGCTTCCCTGGTTGATTACACATGATCCCACTATTTCGTGGCGAGAGAGGGCTCTTAAGGGGTGGTCTGCCCAGTGTGGGGGGCGATGTCTGGGTGTTTCCGTGGGGCCGACCTCGGTGGAGAGTCCAAACCAAGTGCCCGCATTGCACATTCCCCCCGAGTTTGAGGATCTGGCAGTCGTGTTTAGCAAGGCGAGGGCGGCGCGATTGCCACCTCATAGATAGGGGGATTGTGCGATAGATCTCCAGGCAGGAGCTGCGCTCCCGCGGAGCCATGTGTATCCGTTGTCGCAAGAGGAGAAGAGAGCTATGGAGACATACATAGCTGAGTCTCTGAGACAGGGATACATACGGCCCTCCACTTCCCCTGCGTCCTCGAGCTTCTTTTTTGTGAAGAAGAAAGATGGAGGTTTGCGCCCGTGTATTGATTACCGTGGTCTCAATCAGATTACTGTGAAATACAGTTATCCACTCCCTCTGATTGCGACTATGACGGAGTCATTACACGGGGCAAGGTTCTTCACAAAATTGGACCTCAGGAGCGCCTACAACTTGGTGCGCATTAGGGAGGGCGATGAATGGAAGACAGCATTTAGTACCACCTCGGGTCATTACGAGTATCTCGTCATGCCATACGGTTTAATGAATGCTCCGTCAGTCTTCCAATCCTTTGTAGATGAGATTTTCCGGGACATGCAGGGACAGGGGGTGGTCGTGTATATAGACGATATTCTGGTGTACAGTTCTACCCGAGCCGAGCATGTAGCCCTGGTGCGCCGAGTATTGAGGAGACTGTTGGAGCATGACCTGTATGTCAAGGCAGAGAAATGTCTGTTTTTCCAGGAGTCGGTCTCCTTTTTGGGTTATCAGTTGTCTGCGTCAGGGGTGAAGATGGAGGTTGACCGTGTGTCAGCCGTGCGTAATTGGCAAACCCCAACCACAGTTAAAGAGGTTCAGCAGTTCTTGGGCTTTGCGAATTACTACCGGAGGTTTATCCGGGGTTTTGGACAGGTGGCAGCTCCCATCACGTCCCTTCTGAAGGGGGGTCTGGTGCGCTTGCGGTGGTCAGTTGAAGCGGACAGGGCTTTTGGGAGACTGAAGGACCTGTTTACTTCGGCGCCGGTGCTGGCGCACCCGGATCCCGCTTTACCATTCCAAGTGGAGGTGGACGCGTCAGAAGCCGGTATCGGAGCCGTTCTCTCGCAACGGTCCGGCACGCCACCTAAACTCCGCCCCTGTGCCTTTTACTCGAAAAAGCTCAGTCCGGCGGAGCGAAATTATGACGTAGGGGACAGGGAGCTGTTAGCCGTGGTACAGGCCCTAAAGGTGTGGAGGCATTGGCTTGAGGGGGCTCAACACCCTTTTCTCATTTTGACTGACCACCATAATCTGGAATACATTCGGGCAGCTAGGAGACTAAATCCTCGCCAGGCAGACGCCAGGTTTGTGTTTAAGATCACTTACATTCCTGGGTCCCAGAACGGAAAGGCAGACGCCCTGTCTCGGCAGTATGACACAGAGGAGAGGTCCGTTGAGCCCACTCCCATACTACCGAAGTCTTGTTTGGTGGCACCGGTGGTGTGGGAGGTCGATGCTGAAATCGAGCGGGCGTTACGTACCGACCCTAGTCCTCCCCAGTGTCCGGTGGGTCGGACGTACGTTCCGCTCGAGGTTCGGGATCGACTCATTTATTGGGCTCACACGTCACCCTCCTCTGGCCATCCAGGTATTGGTCGGACAGTGCACTGCCTTAGCACGAAGTACTGGTGACCAACGTTAGCCAGGGATGTGAGGGTTTATGTTTCCTCCTGCTCGGTGTGTGCCCAGTGTAAGGCGCCTAGACATTTGCCCAGGGGTAAGTTACAACCCCTGCCCGTTCCACAACGACCCTGGTCGCACCTCTCGGTGGATTTTGTTACAGACCTTCCCCCCTCACAGGGGAATACCACCATTCTGGTCGTTGTGGACCGGTTCTCGAAGGCCTGTCGTCTCCTTCCCATGCCGGGTCTCCCTACTGCCCTACAGACCGCTGAGGCACTATTCACCCACGTCTTCCGGCATTACGGGGTACCCGAGGATATAGTGTCTGATCGAGGCCCCCAATTTACCTCCAGAGTCTGGAGAGCTTTTATGGAGCGCTTGGGGGTTTTGGTTAGCCTTACCTCGGGGTACCACCCGGAGAGCAATGGTCAGGTCGAACATGTGAACCAGGATGTGGGTAGGTTTCTGAGGTCATATTGCCAGGGCCGGCCGGAGGAGTGGGCGAGGTATGTTCCCTGGGCCGAGATGGCACAGAACTCTCTCCGCCACTCCTCCACCAAACTAACTCCGTTCCAGTGTGTTTTAGGATACCAGCCGGCTCTGGCACCTTGGCATCAGAGCCAGATCGAGGCCCCTGCGGTGGATGAGTGGGTGCGGCGCTCGGAGGAGACGTGGAATGCTGCTCACGTCCATCTGCAGCGGGCCATCCGTCAACAGAAGACGAGTGCCGATCTCCACCGCAGTGAGGGACCGGTGTACGCACCGGGAGATCGGGTCTGGCTCTCGACCAGAAACCTGCCCCTCCGCCTGCCCTGCCGGAAGCTGGGTCGGCGGTTTGTGGGGCCTTTTAAAGTCCTGAGGAGGTTGAACGAGGTGTGTTACAGGTTACAATTGCCTATTGATTACAAGAATATTAACCCCTCGTTCCATGTGTCTCTCCTCAGGCCGGTGGTAGCTGGTCCACTCCAGGACTTTGAGATAGAGGAGACTCCTCCGCCCCCGCTGGACATCGAGGGGGCTCCGGCGTACACTGTTCGGTCCATCCTGGATTCGAGACGCCGGATGGGGGGGCTCCAATATCTCGTGGAGTGGGAGGGGTACGGCCCGGAGGAGCAGTGCTGGGTGCCGAGGAGGGACATCTTAGACCCGTCTCTTCTGACCGAGTTCCATCGTGGTCATCCTACGCGCCCTGCTCCGCGTCCGCCTGGTCGTCCTCGAGGCCGGGGTCGGCGCACGGCTGGAGCCGCGCGTCTAGGGGGGGGTACTGTCACGGTTTCGGCCGAGGCTGCTCCTCCTCCTTGTTCGGGCAGGCTTCGGCGGTCGTCGTCTACGGAGTACTAGCTGCCACCGTTCTATGTTTCGATGTTCGTTTGGTTTGGTCTGTTTGTACACCTGTTCTTTGTTAGTGTTGATTATGTGCCCTATAAGTTCTCTTAGGTTTTGTCATGTGTTGTGTGTAATTGTTTCGTGTCAGCTAGGCGTCAGTTTGTTCTCTCTCGTTCTGTTTCTGGTTTTGAGAGAGTGTCCGCACTGTGTGCGCAGTTTGGGTTACGCACTGTTCCCTGTGTGCGTATTGTTTCGCTTGCCCTCCGGCTGGGATTTTGCCGTGAGTCTTTTGTATTTGTTTGATCCTCACTAAAGACTGTTGAAGAGCCTCTGTAGTCCTGCGCTTGATTTCTGCACCACATCTACGCTCAGCCCTTGACAAAGGTGCTCAATATAGTGTTGCCTATACTGCATGTGGCTCTCACAATAACAGTACACAATTTTACAAGTGTAATTTGTTGATTTTATTTTTAAACAATATATTATTTGAAAATACATTCGGTTTTAGGACAACTGAAATGAAAGTAAATAAGTTAATCTCCTACATACAGTACATTACTACTCCTCAACTGTGACAAACATCTGATGTCAACAGGCTCCTGTATATGACTACGAAAATAACTGGCCCCCAATATACACTGAGTATACAAAACATTAAGGACACCTACTCTTTCCATGACATAGACTGACCATGTGAATCCAGGTGAAAGCTACGATCCCTTATTGATGTCACTTGTTAAATCCACTTCAATCAGTGTAGCTGAAGGGGAGGAGACAGGTTAAAGAAGGATTTTTAAGCCTTGAGACAATTGAGACATGGATTGTGTATGTGTGCCATTCAGAGGGTGAATGGGCAAGACAAAATATTTAAGTGCCTTTGAACGGGGTATGGTGGTAGGTGCCAGGCGCACCGGTTTGTGTCAAGAACTGCAACGCTGCTGAGTTTTTCACGCTCAACAGTTTCCCTTGTGTATCAAGAATGGTCCACCACCCAAAGGACATCCAGCCAACTTGACACAACTGTGGGAAGCATTGGAGTCAACATGGGCCAGCATCCATAGGAACGCTTTTGACACCTTGTAGAATCCATGCCCCAACTCAATATTAAAAAGGTGCTCCTAATGTTTGGTATACTCTGTGTATGTTAGAGGCTTTTAAAAATGTTTTACTTTTTATCACTCTGATCAATTAGATTATTCTTATAACCATGATGAGGTATGGCGATCTCTCCATCAAGGAGCAGTCTCCAATAAAAATAAATAACTCTGATTCTAAAAAGGTGGAAAAATAGGTCAACCAAGGAACAAATATACATTGTTAATCATTACTAATTAACAACAACTCAATGATTGTTGGTCCACGTGATACACAGACCATTGATTGGTCTTTCAGTGCTTGCTCACATTGACCATGAGAATCATTTGTACCTAGTAGAATTTCAATTTACACTACAGCATTACAGTAAGTGCAGTACATTAATGTACATTAACGTGCAAGGCTACATATCTTACAGTTCAGTGTGATCGTTGATGCATTGTGGCTAATCTACATCTTTGCCAACAGGTTACTGACCAGCCTCTGTAGGTCCTGAGTGCGCATGCGTGTGGTCTCCAGTACCTCCTCATGGTTGGCCTTCTCCTGGCTGTCATAGTCTATGACCACCTTGTTGGTGATGAGAGACAGACCGAAGACACGAAGACCACAGTGACGAGCCACCACCACCTCAGGGACTGTACTCATACCTACAGAGCACAGAGAGGGTGAGAAAGAAGACAAGCATTGGAGTTCTGTAGAAGAAATGGACGTCTATTGAAAGATTTCAAGGCATTGATGAAGCCCAATGAACCATACTAACCCACAGCATCTGCGCCTAGTTTCTGAAGAGCTCTGCACTCTGCGATGGTCTCAAAGGTGGGACCTGCCAGCATGCAGTACACGCCTTGCTGGATGAAGGAGGAACAGCCCTGCTCCACAGCAGTCTCTTTGGCCAGTCTAGAAAGGTCTTTGTCATAGGCGTCCGACATGCAGGGAAAACGCACTCCAAACCTGAAGAGATACATAAAGTCCTGTGTCATATCAGAGGCCCTCAATGTCAGGTAAAGGCTCAAGTACAATCCAAGGAGTCCACAAGGATAATACCCATGCCCTTTACTGTAATAAAATGCCAGTAATCAGGCTCCTCAGTGTATGGGGAAATGGTGGAGGAAACCGCTGGGGATCCTGTTTACTCAGCAGAGCGAGGAGCCCATGCTCCTCAAACAGAGGGAACATGCAACATGACCCTTCCTTCCAAAGATCAAAAGACTGCTATTCTAACCAGGAGTGATGGAAGGCTCACCTTTCATCGTTGTGACCACACAGTGGGTTCTGGCCTGCAAAGCCTGGCATGTTGATGTGATCCTTGATCAGCATGATGTCACCCACTTTAAAGTTGGGGTTCAGCCCCCCAGCAGCATTAGTGACAATCAGGGTCTCCACCCCCAGCAGGAAGAACACTCGCACCGGGTATGTCACCTAGAAAGAGAGAGGAACTAGAGCTAAGAGATCACTTGCTCAGTGCTGACATTTTTCAGCAGCAAGACTGCACTGTTTTCCTTATTACTAGGTGACTAGACTATAATCATTTTCACTATAATCACTATAATTATTTTCACAAAAGAAAGTAAATAAAACCTTTTTCAGTCATAATGCGTAGTGCGTACAGTTTTTGTACTTATTATAGATCCCCATTAGCTGCTGCCAAGTCAGCAGCTACTCTTCCTGGGGTCCAGCAACATTAAGGCAGTTTTACACAATTTAAAATATTACATGACATTACATTTAATTACACTTTACCCAATACACAGGCCACTACTCCACTATCACATATTTACAATCCAACATCCATGTGTCCATGTGTCCATCTGTCCATGTGTCCATGTGTCCATGTGTCCGTGTGTCCATGTGTAGAGTGCGTGTCTTATCATGTGTATGTGTAGGTCAGGGTGCAGATCATATTGTGTCCAAAGATTTACGATGAAAATTCAACTCACACTGTCAAAGGTTAACCAGAATTGCCTGCTATGCTAATTTCACAGAGGTTAAAAGCTAACTAAAGACACTAACAGTGTTTATTCTAGCATTATGGGACTTCTTTTCTTCATAAAAGTGCACACTGGTGAAGTATTATTGAGTATCCTAACTACTCATTTGAAAGAATATAGTAGCTGCATTTACAAAATAGGTGTCAGGTTTACCATGGGATATACAAGCATTTCAATACACTTCCACAACATTCATTAAATATGAATCCAATGTAATGAGGATATGGTTGGTGGAGAGAGTTGAGCTCACCGTGGCAATGTTATAGCCTTCGTAGAAGTGGAAGCGGCCCTGCATGCAGACACACTGCTTCCCCTGCAGATCCCCAAAAACCAGCTGACTGGCATGTCCTTGTACTGCAGTGGTGCAACAAGAAAGACAGGAGGAGCATTTTTATAGAATTGCTGAATGTAAATATTTCAGTCAGGTCCCAAGGACAGGAAGCAGCAGCCAGCATTGGGTGACGGTCTGGTTCTGGGTCACAGTGAAGGACTGGTGTTCTTACTTCAACTTTCAAAACATTGACGTAAACATTTCTTATCTAACATTAAATTATGAAATGCATAAGTTATCAATGATCATTATAACTTATATTGAGCTTTGGTCAAGTGGTCACTAAGCATAACACTGTAAGATAGTATGTCATGTCTACTGGATGATGTAATGATGCATGTACAAACTGAAGACAGCATGATGCTGTACAGTTTCAGGTGGGACAGTACAGGATAAGGATATTGTCTGACCTGTGCTGTTGGGGAAGCATGGGATGTCCTTGTAGGGAAACACAGTCTTGTTGTCCAGCAGGTCAGCCAGGCCACCCAGGCCAGAGCCACAGATGATGGCTACTTTAGGCCTCTGCTCAGTGTGGGACAGCAACCAATCAGCTGTTTCCCTGTAATCCTCATATTTGTAACTGAGGGAAGAAACAGATAGTAAATTCATGCTATTCAATAAGATATAATAATAATAATATATGCCATTTAGCAGACGCTTCTATCCAAAGCGACTTACATTCATGCGTGCATATATTTTTACAAATGGTTGGTCCTGGGAATCGAACCCACAATCCTGCCGTTAATCTAAATCATCAAAGATCATCTGTGTTTCAGCAGAGATAGGCTACTATACACCTTTCATCTGAACACAACCAATGGGAACATTTGTTAGTTGACGATGCCCAACCTGTCAATTACAGAAGGGTGATCTTCAAAAGTATCTTTGCAACTCCTACAGCTGGTAACAACATAATCACAGACACAACACACCCCGTAACCCCTCTCTTGGTACTGTGTGTGTGTGTGTGTGTGTGTGTGTGTGTGTGTGTGTATGTGTGTGAGTGAGTGAGTGAGTGAGTGAGTGAGTGAGTGAGTGAGTGAGTGAGTGAGTGAGTGAGTGAGTGGGGGAGTGAGAAAGCGAGAGAGAGTTTTATCTAATTGAATTAATTTGAATTGTGAGTTCAACTAAATGTAATGAACTTCTACACATTCAAACTCTACAAGCGCATCGACTTCATTTGAGACACATCACTGTTGTTGGCAAACTCATCGGGTGAATGACTGCAAGTCCTCTCATTTCAAAGCAGGCCTACACAGCTTTTATAAGTTACCATAAACCCAATTAGATCACTTGACTAGAGGTCACTCTAACAAACATTAGTTGCAGAAGGCAGTTTGAGTTCTGTTGGTTTAAAAAAAGTTTTTATCATCCTCATGTTCGATGTTAGCAATAAATCTCCAGTCACCATAAACTTTCATATCAGCAGGTCATGTTTTATGGGTTGCATATGCTTCATAATAAAGCTGGTTTTAAAACGGGAAATAGTGGTAATTCAACCTTCTGCTCGCTGTAGTAAAATGGTGGGCGCTACAAGTGAAAGAAGCAGCCGGATTGGATGATTCAGTGGCAGCGCTGTGCGTACAGCACGGAGCTGTCCGTGGTGCTGCTGGCTGCTGCGGGATCAGCGCTTTCCATTCAGGATGGTCCACAGAGCCGCGCAACTACGCACTCCCACTGAACCAGGCGCTCAATGAACACCCACAATGGCCACTCATTTTGTATTTATTGGCAGACAAAGGCGGGTCCCTTTCCTTTCAAATGAGCTGGCAAAAGCTAGGGCTGCTTTCAATGCTTGAATGCATTTTGCATAGGATTTGCATGAAAAGGAAGCATGTCTCTTTAAGTGCTGCCAACGCTAACGTGTACCTATGAGGATGTAGGCAGCCTAGTCGCTAAAATTATAGTGAGATAAAAAGCTTAAATATTGTTCAATATTATGAACCGAATTTTGTCAGTGGGACCAGAACATTAATATGTTACTGTGCGCTTCCAACCCTCGACACAGACAAATTGTTTAGTATCCGCAGCTAAATTATTATAGGCTCTACTGTGTAGCCTATCAGGAGGACAACCGTTCACTCCGTTTTACTCCGATATACACTGATATATTATCTTACCTGCATTGGTTTGAGGATGAAATGTTCATTGCTGATGACGAGGTAAAGCTACAGCAGAAATGGTTTGTTCGTCAGCTACAGCGTTTAGCGACACACGGTAATCGTAGAACAAGGTCAGTGATGGGAGAGTGGCGTGACGGAGGAGGAGTCGTTGGATTTGCGGTTCATTTGAAAGGGCTCGTTGTTCTAATCCAATTGTCTAACAGACTGGGCCGCGCTCACTAACCCAAGCAATAAACCTTGAGGAATGACACTGACAGCGGACCAGCGGTTGACAACATAGGGAACTGAAAGACTCCTATGACTAAAGCAGAACAAATAATGAGTAACTCCACATTAAAGCTTCACCACAAAACAATGATTTACTGATAGTGAAGGTGCATGAAGGGGAACTTTTGATTTGTCTAGGCTACCTGAAACCATGCTCCCACACTGGAAATCCCCATGTTAATAGTTCTGTTAACACTCAGAGCAGAGACCCGAATCAGTCAACTACAATTTTGTTGATGTGTTGTGCTGGGGGAAAATCACCAAAAATGGAAATATGCCCACTCTTTTGAATGTCTCCATGTGCTCAAAGAGCCTGCTCTGACTCATGTGAAATGCAAAAAGACCCGTCATTTCTGTAATTTCAGTGTGGTTAGATGCAGTGGTGGAAAAAGTATTCAAGTGTCATACTTCAGTAAAAGTAAACATACCTTAACAGAAATCTGACTCAAGTAAAAGTGAAAGTTACCCAGTAAAACACTACTTGAGTAAAAGTCTAAAAGTATCTGGTTTTAAATGTACTTAAGTACAGTGGTAGAAAAAGTACTCAATTGTCATACAGTGGGGGAAAAAAGTATTTAGTCAGCCACCAATTGTGCAAGTTCTCCCACTTAAAAAGATGAGAGAGGCCTGTAATTTTCATCATAGGTACACGTCAACTATGACAGACAAAATTATTTTAAAAAATCCAGAAAATCACATTGTAGGATTTTTAATGAATTTATTTGCAAATTATGGTGGAAAATAAGTATTTGGTCAATAACAAACGTTTCTCAATACTTTGTTATATACCCTTTGTTGGCAATGACACAGGTCAAACGTTTTCTGTAAGTCTTCACAAGGTTTTCACACACTGTTGCTGGTATTTTGGCCCATTCCTCCATGCAGATCTCCTCTAGAGCAGTGATGTTTTGGGGCTGTTGCTGGGCAACACAGACTTTCAACTCCCTCCAAAGATTTTCTATGGGGTTGAGATCTGGAGACTGGCTAGGCCACTCCAGGACCTTGAAATGCTTCTTACGAAGCCACTCCTTCGTTGCCCGGGCGGTGTGTTTGGGATCATTGTCATGCTGAAAGACCCAGCCACGTTTCATCTTCAATGCCCTTGCTGATGGAAGGAGGTTTTCACTCAAAATCTCACGATACATGGCCCCATTCATTTTTTCCTTTACACGGATCAGTCGTCCTGGTCCCTTTGCAGAAAAACAGCCCCAAAGCATGATGTTTCCAGAGGAGCCTCTTAAAGAAGAAGTTACAGGTCTGTGAGAGCCAGAAATCTTGCTTGTTTGTAGGTGACCAAATACTTATTTTCCACCATAATTTGCAAATAAATTCATTTAAAATCCTACAATGTGATTTTCTGGATTTTTTTTTCTCAATTTGTCTGTCATAGTTGACGTGTACATATAATGAAAATTACAGGCCTCGCTCATCTTTTTAAGTGGGAGAACATGGACAATTGGTGGCTGACTAAATACTTTTTTTTTCAAATTTCTTATATTAAGCAAACCAGATGGCACGATTTTCGTATTATTTTTAATTACGGACAGACAGGGGCACACTCCAACACTCAGACATCATTTACAAACACAGTATTTGTGTTTCCTGAGTCCACCTGACCAGAGGCAGTAGGGATGACAAAGCGTTATATTGATAGGTGCCATAAATCTGTCCTGCTTGAGCATTCTTTAGGTGTCAGGGAAAATGTATGGAGTAAAAAGTACATTATTTTCTTTAGGAATGTAGTGGAGTAAAAGTAAAAGTTGTCAAAAATATAAATAGTAAAGTAAAGTACAGATACCCGCAAAAAACGACTTAAGTAGTACTTAAAATTATTTTTACTTAAGTACTTTACACCACTGGTTAGATGTCAGGTTTTGGTTTAATTTTGCTTTGTTGTGTAGGCCTACCTTGAGAAAGAGTGCAACTGGCAGGCTACTTCAAGGTCTTTCTTGGCCCTTGTCTTTCTCTCCCCCTGTGGATTATGTGTCGGAGCCTCAGAGGGGCTTGTCTGGTGATATTTGAGACATGGCACTGCCTTGTCAGGTTCTTCTGTTCTCCAGACAATATCCCTTAGTTTTATGTAGTGTCTACTGTCTACCGTAAAGGTGTATCTGGAAAACCAGTTTAAATCAGCAGAATTGCTAACTACAGGAATATGAAAGGCATAAAGTGGAACATGGTTGAAAAAAGAAACACTGAAGTTTTTTTCTGTCAGGTTTTTCCACCCTTTTAACTATTACACACATAAGGGCTACACACATTTTTTCACAGTTCTTAAGTGGAAAATCCAATGACAGAGATTAAGCAGAGGGCACATAGTAGCTGGTGTATAATAGTATGATGGACCTCCAGGAACCTCCAAACAGTCACCACTCGAGGAACAAGACTTACGAAACTCTACAAAATCAATATGTGGGCAAGCAGAGCTAGGCATATTTGTAAAAGGATCAAACTAATAGGATTTGTAGGCATGAAACGGAAAGCAAATTCCCCTCCTGTCATCCCTGTTCCATACATTCCCTGTGAGACACCCCGTCCCCCACAGTGGCATTCCCTCCCCTCCTGTCATCCCTCGTGCAAAGGCTGGGCCGACTCTGAAATACCAGACATCTCAATTAAAACTGCAGCTTTCTGGTCAGACTTCCAATGAGGGTTTGAAGATGTGATACACAGGGAATTCACAACAGTAGCTTTGGGATTACTGTAAATTACAGTTTGTAATTTTTTTTTGACATGAACAAATAGTTGCAATTTCTTATACATGCTGCCTGAATTAATTGTGTAATCTGGTAAATCTCTCCAAGATTATATTGTATTATGAAACAATAACAATAACAATTAAAAAAACTACCTTTTCAACCTCTACAACCTCTGCAAGACACATTGTGTTGAATGAAAACAATGATCTAAATTTACAGGTCACTACAATGGAAAGTTGAAATCCTTCTGTGGGAACTTGGTGGAAACCAACTGGGTTAGTAGAAATGAGGCAACTTCATGAGAGTTTGTTGTAAATGAGAATAATAATTATAGAACTACTACTAATGAATTGAGATAGGGAGAAATTAGCTATTTCTATTTTTAAAAAAACACTGTGGATTAGGCCATTTTTGCTGAAGTCAATCCCCTACATTGTTGTAATGTTGTAACTCAACCAGACATATTATATCTTATCAATGAATGTGGTATAGGGATTTAGGCCTAGACCCATACTGTACTTTTTTCGGTGATGAAAAATATGCTTGTGTATTTTGAGAGAAACACCCTGGTATCAGGGTCTTCAGGACAAAATAATCTGCTGCTCTATTATTCATTAATTCAAGGGAATTCGGGTCATGGGTGACTAGTTAACGTTAGCTTGGCTCTCTCTGTGTGTTTCATGCCGTGGGAGGAGGGGTTGGTTCGTTGGCAGAGAGCAATGGCTAGCTAGTATGCTAACTATTCTAGCTAACTAACTGGCTGAATAAGTTGACGACGTACTCACTCAAACTGTCAAAACTAACCCAAAACTTTACACAACGTTAGACACGGACACGAATGATCTGTTTGGCGTGTTAACACACTGGTGGTTTGTTGTAACCGAGTATTGGTGCTAAACCGTGTTATTGGAGGCTGGCATGATAGTTGGCTATGGCGTCATAGGATTCGGTGCCCTGGACGGTTTTCACAGAATAATACTGTACCAAGTTAGCTAGCTGAATAAACTAAGTTAGAGTCTATTCCTAGAAAACATTGAACCGCTGTAGTTTACAACAATTATAATTTCTAAAGTGGAAGTTGGGAGAGTTATATTTGAGTGTTTCAGTGACACGTAAGTGAGGGAGGCCCGCTCTGTCGCTTTCCCAGATGTTTAGTTCATTTCATTCTGATCTCCTTTGCATTATTGTAGCCTTTTTCTGTAGCCTGTCAACTATGTGTCTGTCTATCCCTGTTCTCTCCTCTCTGCACAGGCCATACAAACGCTTCACACCGCGTGGCTGCTGCCACTCTAATCTGGTGGTCCCTGCGCGCACGACCCACGTGGAGTTCCAGGTCTCCGGCAGCCTCTGGAACTGCCGTTCTGCGGCCAACAAGGCAGAGTTCATCTCAGCCTATGCTACCCTCCAGTCCCTCGACTTCTTGGCGCTGACGGAAACATGGATTACCACAGAAAACACTGGTACTCCTACTGCTCTTTCCTCGTCTGACCATGTGTTCTCGCATACCCCGAGAGCATCTGGTCTCTCTTTTTCCCCTGACCCATCTGTCTATCTCCTGATTTGAATTCCATGCTGTCACAGTCACTAGCCCATTCAAGCTTAACATCCTTGTCATTTATCGCCCTCCAGGTTCCCTTGGAGAGTTCATCAATGAGCTTGACACCTTGATAAGTTCCTTTCCTGAGGATGGCTCACCCCTCACAGATCTGGCTGACTTTAACCTCCCTACGTCTGCCTTTGACTCATTTCTCTCTGCCTCTTTCTTTCCACTCCTTTCCTCTTTTGACCTCACCCTCTCACCGTCCCTCCCTACTCACAAGGCAGGCAATACGCTTGACCTCATCTTTACTAGATGCTGTTCTTCTACTAATCTCACTGCAACTCCCCTCTAAGTCTCCGACCACTACTTTGTATCCTTTTCTCTCTCGCTCTCTTCCAACACTACTCACTCTGCCCCTACTCAGATGGTAATGTGCCGTCGCAACCTTCGCTCTCTCTCTCCTCTTCCATCCTATCATCTCTTCCCTCTGCTAAATCCTTCTCCCTCCGATCTCCTGATTCTTCCTCCTCAACCCTCCTCTCCTCCCTTTCTGACTCTCTATGTCCCCTATCCTCCCGGCCGGCTCGGTCCTCCCCTCCTGCTCCGTGGCTTGACGACTCATTGCGAGCTCACAGAAGAGGGATCTGGGCAGCCGAGTGGAAATTGAGGAAAACTAGACTCCCTGCAGACCTGTCATCTTTTCACTCCCTCCTCTCTACATTCTCTTCCTCTGTTTCCGCTGCTAAAGCCACTTTCTACCACTCTAAATGTCAAGCCTCTGCCTCTAACCCTAGGAAGCTCTTTGCCACCTTCTCCTCCCTGCTGAATCCTCCTCCTCCTCCCCCTCCCTCCTCCCTCTCTGTGGATGATTTCGTCAACCATTTTGAAAAGAAGGTTGATGACATCCGATCCTTATTTATTAAGTCAAATGACACCACTGGTCCTGCTCACACTGCCCTACCCTATGCTTTGACTTCTTTCTCCCCTCTCTCTCCAGATGAAATCTTGCGACTTGTGACGGCCGGCCGCCCAACAACCTGCCCGCTTGACCCTATCCCCTGCTCTCTTCTCCAGACCATTTCCGGAGACCTTCTCCCTTACCTCATCTCGCTCATCAACTCATCCTTGACCGCTGGCCATGTCTCTTCCGTCTTCAAGAGAGCGAGAGTTGCACCCCTCCTCAAAAAACCTACACTCGTTCCCTCCGATGTCAACTACTACAGACCAGTATCCCTTCTTTCTTTTCTCTCCAAAACTCTTGAGCGTGCCGTCTCTAGCCAACTCTCCTGCTATCTCTCTCAGAATGACCTTCTTGATCCAAACCAGTCAGGCTTCAAGACTGGACATTCAACTGAGACTGCTCTTCTCTGTGTCATGGAGGCTCTCCGCACAGCTAAAGCTAACTCTCTCTCCTCTGCTCTTATCCTTCTAGACCTATCCGCTGCCTTTGATACTGTGAACCATCAGATCCTCCTCTCCACCCTCTCTGAGTTGGGCATCTCCGGCGCTGCTCACTCTTGGATTGCGTCCTACCTGATAGGTCGCTCCTACCAGGTGGCGTGGCGAGAATCTTGTCTAGCAAGACTTCCAAACTGTTTCACTTGTAGTTTGAGTGCTCAGAAAGGAATGCATGCATAGCCTACTAATTAAGCCTAGTGAGATAAATCTAACATTTATCATCTTGATAAATAGGCTAGATAGAAGACTGCAAAGCCGACTCACTCTGATATCAGAGGGTGGGTGGGAGGTTGGGTAGTCTCAGGGGTCTCTTTGGATACATTGTTTCTGATATTGTCTCCTAAGCACGCGGCTCCTCCCCCCCACGTGACCAATGAGGAGGAACGCGCAAGCCCGTAGAGTCGGTGCCATGGTAACGGCTAAATGCGCTACAAACTAAAAGGAGAGAAAGAGAGGGTGACTATTTTGACTATTTTGTACAACTATTGGTGACTATTTTGTACATTTCTAAACAACTGCCAATGCCTGGTTATCATGGATATAAAGAACCTAGAAGTGAATAAACAATGTTGAACTGGCTTGATAAAGTAGACACATTTACTGACATTTATCGCTAACGTTAGCTAAACTTGGTTGCTAGTATAACGTTACTGTACTGTTAGCAGATTGAACGCCAGACGAAATATTGACCAATGTATTTAGTACCTGGCTGGATTCAATATACCTTCGTTACCAATAATGTTAAGTTACTCACCCAAAATAAAGACGATGCTAGCTACAGTGCTGAAGAACTGTTCTCTGTGCGCACAGGCTGTAATTTATCCAAAACACGAAATATATTACTTTTGAGCACTGTTTACCACCAGACTTGCCAAGTAACGTTAACGTAAGTTCAGTTTGAGAGGAAGAGAGAGGCCCAACTCTGCGGGAAATCTGCCTCCTTCAAGCAGGTTGCTTTTTTTCTTCGTTTTTTCGCCCACCAAGCAAATTATTTTTTTGTATGGAGGTCAATGAGAGTGTGGTGAATTTGGTCAACAACCTTTTTTATGGCTTATTTGCTACGTGAGGTTTATTTGATCGAATATATACGTTTCGTAGTGCTTAAATTGTTACGATTGTACTGATATAAGTAGGACACGTGACATCCCGGCAACTTTGAGAAAAAACGCTTTATATAGCATAGCATCTCTCTCCGTTGAAGTCAACAACCCTAATCGAATATTCAAAAAGAGATTACAAAAATGAGACGTATTCCACCAATCCAAACAAAGGATAGGCAAGAACTAGACAATGGCGCTATGTGGACAACGACTCCTATTGTTAGGGTAGAGAAACATGTATCTTCAGTTCGTCAGTCAGTATATTCATAATCTTTGCCTCAATTGAGGTAACTTTACTTGGCAACCACCAGACTAGCTCTGGTGTTGATAGCTAGCTATATTACACAATGGCAATATGCGGAAAATGCAAATGAGACATGATTCAACTACACTGATTGATGAAAAATACCTACTAGAATAAATGGTCTTAGTGAGGCTGTCTTGTTGCTTTCTAAATAAATGAATATGTTCATATTCAACAGGATCTGCTGTATTCTCAAATGAACTAAACAAAGGAAGATCCAACTTTACAATGCCCAACTCCAAGGGTCAGGCATCCCATGCGTCTCTGCCAAGCCTGCCTCTGAAAATACCAGAGGGATTCAAGAGCAAAGTGTTGGCACCCAGGAATCCCAAGCTAGTTAGAAGAGAGGATAGGCCCAAAAAAGTGAGTACATTCATATGGAATGTATGTTTTGAATATACACATAACTGGCAGCTATATTTCAAGTAAAAACCATGAAATAAGTGCAGTTTGATGTTTACCTATTGATGAACTAACTAATGGAGAGATGTTATTGTGGGGGAAATTAAGCATAATATGTGTTTGAGTTGGCCTATTCTAAAAGGGGAGAATATTAAGATTCCAGGAATGTGTCTGTGGCCAAGGATGGACATCTTTAATGATCACTCATGCATTCCGTACAATTATTTGAATTCCCTTTCTCAATGTAGCTGACACCGTCTGCTTTTGCACAAGAGATGTCCCAATCTACGGAGGAGCGGCTGGCAAATACACATGAGATGCACCCGCCACGCATTCTAGAGCTGATAGACATGAGTGAGACCACTCACCAGAAGGTAAAGTCTATGCAAATGCACTACAACAGGATTTCCCAACTGGCGGCCTGTGGGCCGAGTTTGGCCCACGGGTGATTTTATTTGGCCCCCCATGTTTTCAGAGCAAAAATAAATACATTTCCAAAGTATTCCCACGCATAATAGAAAGTTACAGTATAAACTCAGCAAAAAAAGAAACGTCCCTTTTTCAGGACCCTGTTTTCCAAAGATAATTAGTAAAAATCCAAATAACTTCACAGATCTTCATTGTAAAGGGTTTAAACACTGTTTCCCATGCTTGTTCAATGAACCATAAACAATTAATGAACATGCATCTGTTGAACGGTCATTAAGACACTTAACAGCTTACAGACGGTAGGCAATTAAGGTCACAGTTATGAAAACGTAGGACACTAAAGAGGCCTTTCTACAGAAGAAAGATGCCCAGCTCATCTGCGTGAACGTGCCTTAGGCATGCTGCAAGGAGGCATGAGGACTGCAGATATGGCCAGGGCAATAAATTGCAATGTCTGTACTGTGAGACGCCTAAGACAGCGCTACAGGGAGACAGGATGGACAGCTGATCGTCCTCGCAGTGGCAGACCACGTGTAACAACACCTGCACAGGATCGGTACGTCCGAACATCACACCTGCGGGACAGGAACAGGATGGCAACAACAACTGCCCGAGTTACACCAGGAACGCACAATCCCTCCATCAGTGCTCAGACTGTCCACAATAGGCTGAGAGAGGCTGGACTGAGGGCTTCTAGGCCTGTTGTAAGGCAGGTCCTCACCAGAAGTTTTTTTAATTTAACCTTTATTTAACCAGGTAAGCCAGTTGAGAACAAGTTCTCATTTACAACTGTGACCTGGCCAAGATAAAGCAAAGCAGTGCAATAAAAAACAACAACACAGAGTTACATATGGAATAAACAAAACGTACAGTCAATAACACAATATAAAATCTATATACAGTGTGTGCAAATGTAGTAAGTTATGGAGGTAAGGCAATAAATAGGCCATAGTGCAAAATAATTACAGTTTAGTATTAACACTGGAGTGATAGATGTGCAGAAGATGATGTTTTAAGCATCAGTTGTCAGAGCACCTTACCGATCACTGCACCTGTACACAGCCCATCTGAAATTAGCCCGCCCAACTACCTCATCCCTATATTGTTATTTATTTTGCTAATTTGTACCCCAGTATCTCTATTTGCACATCATCTCTTGCACATCTATCATTCCAGTGTTAATACTAATTGTAATTATTTTGCACTATAGCCTATTTATTGCCTTACCTCCATAACTTGCTACATTTGCACACACTGTATATATATTTTTCTGTTGTATTTTTGACATTATGTTTTGTTTTACCCCATATGTAACTCTGTGTTGTTGTTTTTATCGCACTGCTTTGCTTTATCTTGGCCAGGTCGCAGTTGTAAATGAGAACTTGTTCTCAACTGGCTTACCTGGTTAAATAAAGGTTAAATAAAAATAAAATAAAAATGTGCAAATAGAGATACTGGGGTGCAAATGAGCAAAATAAATAACAATGTAAATAACAATATGGGGATGAGGTAGTTGGGTGGGCTAATTACAGATGGGCTCTGTACAGGTGCAGTGATTGGTAAGCTGCTCTGACAACTGATGCTTAAAGATAGTGACGGAGATAAGTGTCTCCAGCTTCAGAGATTTTTGCAGTTCGTTCCAGTCATTTGCAGCAGAGAACTGGAAGGAATGGCGGCCAAAGGAGGTGTTGGCTTTGGGGATGACCAGTGAGATATACCTGCTGGAACGCATACTACGGGTTGGTGTTGCTATGGTGACCAATGAGCTAAAATAAGGCAGGGATTTGCCTAGAAGAGATTTATAGATGACCTGGAGCCAGTGGGTTTGGCGACGAATATGTAGTGAGGGCCAGCCAACGAGAGCATACAGGTCACAATGGTGGGTAGTATATGGGGCTTTGGTGACAAAACGGATGGCACTGTGATAGACTACATCCAATTTGCTGAGTAGAGTGTTGGAAGCTATTTTGTAAATTACATCGCCGAAGTCAAGGATCGGTAGGATAGTCCGTTTTACGAGGGCATGTTTAGCAGCATGAGTGAAGGAGGCTTTGTTGCGAAATAGGAAGCCGATTCTAGATTTAACTTTGGATTGGAGATGCTTAATGTGAGTCTGGAAGGAGAGTTTACGGTCTAACCAGACACCTAGGTATTTGTAGTTGTCCACATATTCTAAGTCAGACCCGCCGAGAGTAGTGATTCTAGTCGGGCGGGTGCAAGCATCGTTCGATTGAAGAGCATGCATTTAGTTTTACTAGCGTTTAAGAGGATTTGGAGGCCACCGAAGGAGTGTTGTATGGCATTGAAGCTCGTTTGGAGGTTTGTTAACACAGTGTCCAATGAAGGGCCAGATTTATACAAAATGGTGTCGTCTGCGTAGAGGTGGATCTGAGAGTCACCAGCAGCAAGAGCGACATCATTGATATACACAGAGAAAAGAGTCGGCCCGAAAATTGAACCCTGTGGCACCCCCATAGAGACTGCCAGAGGTCCAGACAACAGGCCCTCCGATTTGATACATTGAACTCTATCTGAGAAGTAGTTGGTGAACCAGGCGAGGCAGTCATTTGAGAAACCAAGGCTATTTAGTCTGCCAATAAGAATGCGGTGATTGACAGGGTCAAAAGCCTTGGCCAGGTCGATAAAGACGGCTGCACAGTACTGTCTTTTATCGATCGCGGTTATTATATCGTTTAGGACCTTGAGCGTGGCTGAGGTGCACCCATGACCAGCTCGGAAACCAGATTGCATAGCGGAGAATGTACGGTGGGATTTGAAATGGTCGGTGATCTGTTTGTTAACTTGGCTTTCAAATACTTTCGAAAGGCAGGGCAGGATGGATATAGGTCTGTAACAGTTTGGATCTAGAGTGTCACGGCAGCTTTCCAATCTCTGGGGATCTCAGACGATACGAAAGAGAGGTTGAACAGAATAGTAATAGGGGTTGCAACAATTTCGGCGGCTAATTTTAGAAAGAAAGGGTCCAGATTGTCTAGCCCAGCTGATTTGTAGGGGTCCAGATTTTGCAGCTCTTTCAGGACATCAGCTATCTGAATTTGGGTGAAGGAGAAGCGGGGGGGGGGGCATGGGCAAGTTGCAGCGGAGGGTGCAGAGCTGGTGGCCGGGGTAGGGGTAGCCAGGTGGAAAGCATGGCCAGCCATGGCAAAATGCTTCTTGAAATTCTCGATTATCGTAGATTTATCGGTGGTGACAGTGTTTCCTAGCTTCAGTGCAGTGTGTAGCTGGGAGGAGGTGCTCTTATTCTCCATGGACTTTACAGTTTTTAACTGGTAATGGCGATGAAAGTTTGTGCTGAGGCTAAACAGATAAACAGGATAGGGTACCGTGTAAAGGAACAGTCCAGCAGGCATCAGCTGAGTGATCATAAGGTCCAGTGAACAGCAATAGCTAAGTCCGGGAGCAGTTTGTAGGCTGCTACAGCACAGGCGAGCAGGAGGCACGGCTGTTGATTGCGCGTGCTAGCGGGCCGGGGCTAGAAGATGGATCTTCGTGGTCGTCGCAACGGGAAGCCTGTTGAAACCACATCAGACGATTACGTCGGCAGACCAGTCGTGATGGATCGGCGGGGCTCCGTGTCGACACTAGGAGGTCCCGTCCGGTTGACAGAGAGGTAGATAGCTGGGAGATGGGCCTGGCTCGAGGCTAGCTCAAGGCTAACTAGTGAATCGGGACAGTGGTGAATTAGCCAACAACAGCCATTCGGTTGCAGCTAGCTTGTTGCGATGATCCGGTGTTAAGGTCCAGTGATTCAGCTGTTGAGAAGCCTTTTGGACCTAGACAGTCTATAACTAGGGTGGCTGGAGACTTTGACAATTTTGAGGGCCTTCCTCTGACAAATCGATCCCGCTCCAGAGTACAGGCCTCTGTGTAACGCTCATTCCTTCGACGATAAAGTCACCGGCAACAACGTCGCCTATGAGCACAAACCCACCGTCGCTGGACCAGACAGGACTGGCAAAAAGTGCTCTTCACTGACGAGTCGCGGTTTTGTCTCACCAAGGGTGATGGTCAGATTCGCGTTTATCGTCGAAGGAATGAGCCTTACACAGAGGCCTGTACTCTGGAGCGGGATCGATTTGTCAGAGGAAGGCCCTCAAAATTGTCAAAAACTCCAGCCACCCTAGTCATAGACTGTTCTCTCTGCTACCGCACGGCAAGCGGTACCGGAACGCCAAGTCTAGGTCCAAAAGGCTTCTCAACAGCTTCTACCCCCAAGCCATAAGACTCCTGAACAGCTAATCATTGCTACCCAGACTATTTGCCCTGCCACCCCCCACCCCCCTCTTTTACGCTGCTGCTTTTACGCTACGTTATTATTTATGCATAGTCACTTTAACTCTACCCACATGTACATATTACCTCAATTTCCTCGACTAGCCGGTGCCCCCGCACATTGACTCTGCACCGTTTCCCCCCTGTATATAGCCTCCCTACTGTTATTTTATTTTACTGCTGCTCTTTAGTTATTTTTGTATTTTATTTTTACTTAACACAAAAAAAAAGTATTTCAAAATGCTTTGCTGGTTAAGGGCTTGTAAGTAAGCATTTCACTGTAATGTCTACACCTGTTGTATTCGGCGCATGTGGCAAATAAAATTTGATTTGATTTGGAGGTGGAGGGTCCGTCATGGTCTGGGGCGGTGTGTCACAGCATCATCGGACTGAGCTTGTTGTCATTGCAGGCAATCTCAACGCTGTGCGTTACAGGGAAGACATCCTCCTCCCTCATGTGGTACCCTTCATGCAGGCTCATCCTGACATGACCCTCCAGCATGACAATGCCACCAGCCATACTGCTCGTTCTGTGCGTGATTTCCTGCAAGACAGGAATGTCAGTGTTCTGCCATGGCCAGCGAAGAGCCCGGATCTCAATCCCATTGAGCATGTCTGGGACCTGTTGGATCGGAGGGTGAGGGCTAGGGCCATTTCCCCCAGAAATGTCCGGGAACTTGCAGGTGCCTTGGTGGAAGAGTGGGGTAACATCTCACAGCAAGAACTGGCAAATTTGGTGCAGTCCATGAGGAGGAGATGCACTGCAGTACTTAATGCAGCTGGTGGCCACACCAGATACTGACTGTTACTTTTGATTTTGACCCCCCCTTTGTTCAGGGACACATTATTCAATTTATGTTAGTCACATGTCTGTGGAACTTGTTCAGTTTATGTCTCAGTTGTTGAATCTTGCAAATCGATCCCGCTCCAGAGTACAGGCCTCTGTGTAAGGCTCATTCCTTCGACGATAAACGCGAATCTGACCATCACCCTCGTCAGTGAAGAGAATCTTGCAGTACTTAATGCATCTGGTGGCCACACCAGATACTGACTGTTACTTTTGATTTTGACCCCCCCTTTGTTCAGGGACACATTATTCAATTTCTGTTAGTCACATGTCTGTGGAACTTGTTCAGTTTATGTCTCAGTTGTTGAATCTTGTTATGTTCATACAAATATTTACACATATTAAGTTTGCTGAAAATAAACGCAGTTGACAGTGAAAGGACGTTTATTTTTTTGCTGAGTTTATGTGATTGTATACAAATGGAAGCAATGTTTGAAGTTATTATGTTTTAGTCTAATATTATATATGTTTGGGCTCAGGGGTCACTTTAATGCAGAATTCAGAGTTTTTCACACAGAAAAATAAAAATGCGTAAGAAATATCTTGCTGTGTTTTGTAAAATGCTTCTTAATGTAATTTCTGCTCGTCAACAGACCAACGTTAATTTTGTGCTTCAGTAGCTGACTGATGTGTAGCTACTTTTCTCCTGTACTTTTCATGCAAGATTAACTTCAAACAAAACATTAGGAAAATGTAGCTGGCTACATTCTTTCTAAGATAAACATTAGAAATATGATGGCCATGCATCGTTTTTGCAAAAACGATCTTGCTTTTTCATTTTAAGCTCATTTACTTGTGTGGTTGCTAGCCAAATAGCATTGCACTTCTGTTATCATCTGATGAAAATGAAGCTGTTTTCTGATGAATGTGTTGCACTAATGTATTTTCTGTGAAGGAAAAAAACACTGTTGACTTTCAATATAAAACGCAGGTGAAATGGTTTAAAACACAGATTTCTTGATGGTGTATGTTTTGAAAATGCTAATTTCTGAACTCTAACCCGACCCCTGGGGCTTCTTGCGGTCAATTTGCAGTCTACTAATTATTTGTAATTATGTTCTTGCCCTCTGACCATCCGCTCAAGAAAAAATCAGCCCACGGCTGAATCTAGTCGATGATCCCTGCACTATAAACTCAAAGTCAAGCTTTCTTTATGATCACTTAGGATACAGTATTACCACTTAGACAGGTTTTGTTGGAGAATCATTTATTTGTAGATAATACTAATAATGCACAGGTCAACAACAACAACACAACTAATCAGATCCTAGGTCACCCTTCCCAACCTGATTGATGTTAAAACATAATATTATTGCTCAGCCTTTACACCATCAAAAGGGCCCTGGTAGGGCTTTATGTCACTTTGGTCCTCTGTAGCTCAACTGGTAGAGCACGGCGCTTGTAACGCCAAGGTAGTGGGTTCGATCCCCGGGACCACCCATACACAAAAATGTATGCACGCATGACTGTAAGTCGCTTTGGATAAAAGCGTCTGCTAAATGGCATATTATTATTATTACTTCATCTTATCCATTAAACATGCATCTGTAAATAGGACTGTGTATCTACCCACTCTTCCTCCCTTGGAACATAAACTGGATTTAATTTGATTGATTATAGAGGCAAATCATTTCATTTACTGTAGAAATGTGAAAGAATGACACATTTTTCTCATATTATAAAGCATCTGCTCTCTGCACCTCTCTCTCTCTCTCTGCCCCTTTCTACCTCCAGCGTTTTCTTGCCTCTGTAATACTAATGTTAGCTAATATAATTTTTTTCCAACCAGCTTGTCCTTATTAAATCAGAGCTCATCTTCTGAAATTGTATACAAAATTAAGTCAAATAGGATGAAGTTTTAGTGGTTATAAGTCAGTTTAAAATACAGAATGCATCATCATTATGAGATGATGGTCATTTTGACCTGTAAGCAGCCTTCCCTTAGTCAGCATTGTCTTATGAGACCTCCTACTGTAGTAGTAGAGGCCATCTAATGTGACTTAAACAATTTTTACAATTATTATGTTATATTATTTTGTAGTATGTGTGTTACTAAAGGCACAATGTGGCTTGCTCAAAAAAGTATGTTATTGTTCCTACCCTAAGAATCCTGTCTTTTTTACTTTTTCTCTGTGCTGTTCTCAGTTCTCTACCATCGATGTGGACCAGGCCATGTTCCAGCCATACCCCTCTGAGATTGTGTTCCAGAATTATACGCCCTCAGAGACCTATGAGATTTCACTGATTCTCCGTAACATTGACAAGGTAGGACAAGGCGGGTTTGAGTACCAGGGAAGCGTGGAAGGTTGATGTGGACATTAGATTGCCAAGACCTGGCTGAGCAAGCAGCCATGTGGAGAGTGGGTAGTTCTGGAGATGTGCTTTGTCCGTCTGACTTCCCAGTGATAATTGTACAGCATAGGTTATTAGGACACAATGCCCACTGGTCATTAGTTACAACCCCATATGTGCCACACCAATACGTGATTGGATTCTCCATTAAAAAGTGCTCCACTGCAAACACTCAATAAACTGTAATGAATCAGATGAAAGGGCTGAATCATGCACGTTTTTGACACATGAAAAGGCATAACAATCTTTTTACAATGCTACAATGATTGATATGCTTTTAACTTGCCTCTCAGTTATGTTACCATTGATCAACGATGATGTTATGTCTCTTCTTTCACATGTTGATAATGCATTGTGGAAGTCACAGACATTGGGAGGTACAGTAATATTACTATATAATGCAACAGTGATTCTCAACTTAATAGAATATCTGGACTTGCTCAGATTATGTGCATTGTGCATTATTACCCTTTTTCTTATAGGCTACAGTGCATTCTCAATATTCTGCACACAATAATATACCTCCCTTTCCCCTACGCTCATCCTCTCAAATACCCACTATTCCTACCGGTATCATCCTTTCAGAACAGTGAAACTCATTAGTAACTACATTATAATGTGTTTTGTAATTAGGGATTTTTTAAATAGTTTGAACAAAAAGCATTGTGATGAAAGGATACTACAGTGTCAACTGATTTGCTAGCCTACAACCAACATACTGCGTTGGTGGATTTTCTGCCTACCATTTACCTTTTAGAGATGGGGCTGGGGGTAGTAGTGAGATAGTGTGGTAGAGAGACAAATACTCTAATAAATATGTATATGAATTCCCTGGAAAAACAACCTCTTTATTACATTTATTCATGACCACATTGAAGCTGTGCTGCATACAGTAGTTGCATTTAAAATGCAAGGAGAAAATATATGAAAGATTTAGCTTCGTAGCCAAATGTCTCACTTCCTCACTGCAGTCCCATGTTGATGGAGAATTGATAGGCCTAGAATAAGTTATTGGCAGTACAGTTCCTTTTATTTTATGGTCATATCAATCCTGAATCTCTAAATACACTATGTTGCATGCCTGTCCAAACCCCAAACTCTTTTTAGCATGTATTGCATTTGGCTTTATTTCATATCAAACAGAAGCTAAACAAGTCAACTTTTACGTTGATGCATTTGGTGACATACTGTTCTGTACCAGTGTTAATTTCATTAACAATAACTATGATTAAAAATATTTGTCAACAACCTATTTTTCCTGATGAAAACTAATGACGATAACAAGAAGAGATGCCATCAAAAAAACGATATCCTTGTAGGAACAAATTCGTTTTCATTTTAGTTGACGAAAATGTGACAAGGCGAGTATTCCAAGAGACTAATGGACGTTCAATTTGACATGAAGTTCCTTTTCATCTGTTTTGTCCAATCATAAGCGTTCATGCCTTTGCAGAATATTTAATGCAATCCTCTCATTGGCAGAATTATCCGCTTTCAGTTATGCGGTCTGATTGAGCTGATCTGCTCGGCTCCCCCACACAGCTCCCGGGTGGTCACTTCAGTCACTCATAAGTCTTTTGAACTGATGCATAGCCAGTGAACCAGGATACATCAGTTGTAGCTAACCTCAACTAGAAACAGTAATGTTTACTCTCTTACTTTCATGTTGGCTATTTTCGCTTTGATCTCATCACAAGCTCCATTTTCCCATGTGTGCTGTTATTCATCTGTATTGCCGCTCTCGCGGTCGGCAAATGCGAGTGCAGGGAATCACTGTTATTTACCCCCATCCTAAGGTTATGATTGGGAGAAAAGAGCTGTATGCCTAAATTGTTTAACCTGTAGCCAAGGCTTTGTAGCCTATGGTAAATCATGTCTGGCATTGGTTACAATCTGCCACAATAGCAATGTGCCAGCTATATGAGGGGATAGTAGGCTTAGTTGGAAAAGGCTATCTTAATGTGCACATGATGGAAGTTACAAGTCAATTATTAATTATTTCATGGAAAGAAATGCACTGACGAATATGTGACAAAACTGACTTGGACTAAAACTAGACAAAAACTGTTCAGAGTTTAAGTCGACTGATATTAACTAAAACTAAGAAGGATGAAATGACTAAAATGTGACTTAGACTAAAATGTATCTAAAATAGCTGCCAAAATTAACACAGTTCTGTACCTTAGTATGGTCTGCCAAACTGCCACCAGCTTGTTGAAATATATATACACTGCTCAAAAAAATAAAGGGAACACTAAAATAACACATCCTAGATCTGAATGAATGAAATAATCTTATTAAATACTTTTTTCTTTACATAGTTGAATGTGCTGACAACAAAATCACACAAAAATTATCAATGGAAATCAAATGTATCAACCCATGGAGGTCTGGATTTGGAGTCACCCTCAAAATGTAAAGTGGAAAACCACACTACAGGCTGATCCAACTTTGATGTAATGTCCTTAAAACAAGTCAAAATGAGGCTCAGTAGTGTGTGTGGCCTCCACGTGCCTGTATGACCTCCCTACAACGCCTGGGCATGCTCCTGATGAGGTGGCGGATGGTCTCCTGGGGGATCTCCTCCCAGACCTGGACTAAAGCATCCGCCAACTCCTGGACAGTCTGTGGTGCAACGTGGCGTTGGTTGATGGAGCGAGACATGATGTCCCAGATGTGCTCAATTGGATTCAGGTCTGGGGAACGGGCGGGCCAGTCCATAGCATCAATGCCTTCCTCTTGCAGGAACTGCTGACACACTCCAGCCACATGAGGTCTAGCATTGTCTTGCATTAGGAGGAACCCAGGGCCAACCGCACCAGCATATGGTCTCACAAGGGGTCTGAGGATCTCATCTCGGTACCTAATGGCAGTCAGGCTACCTCTGGCGAGCACATGGAGGGCTGTGCGGCCCCTCAAAGAAATGCCACCCCACACCATGACTGACCCACCGCCAAACCGGTCATGCTGGAGGATGTTGCAGGCAGCAGAACGTTCTCCACGGCGTCTCCAGACTCTGTCACGTCTGTCACATGTGCTCAGTGTGAACCTGCTTTCATCTGTGAAGAGCACAGGGCGCCAGTGGCGAATTTGCCAATCTTGGTGTTCTCTGGCAAATGCCAAACGTCCTGCACGGTGTTGGGCTGTAGCACAACCCCCACCTGTGGACGTCGGGCCCTCATACCACCCTCATGGAGTCTGTTTCTGACCATTTGAGCAGACACATGCACATTTGTGGCCTGCTGGAGGTCATTTTGCAGGGCTCTGGCAGTGCTCCTCCTGCTCCTCCTTGCACAAAGGCGGAGGTAGCAGTCCTGCTGCTGGGTTGTTGCCCTCCTACGGCCTCCTCCACGTCTCCTGATGTACTGGCCTGTCTCCTGGTAGCGCCTCCATGCTCTGGACACTACGCTGACAGACACAGCAAACCTTCTTGCCACAGCTCGCATTGATGTGCCATCCTGGATAAGCTGCACTACCTGAGCCACTTGTGTGGGTTGTAGACTCCGTCTCAAAAGTGACCAAAACATCAGCCAGGAAGCATAGGAACTGAGAAGTGGTCTGTGGTCACCACCTGCAAAACCAGTCCTTTATTGGGGGTGTCTTGCTAATTGCCCATAATTTCCACCTGTTGTCTATTCCATTTGTACAACAGCATGTGAAATGTATTGTCAATCAGTGTTGCTTCCTAAGTGGACAGTTTGATTTCACAGAAGTGTGATTGACTTGGAGTTACATTGTGTTGTTTAAGTGTTCCCTTAATTTTTTGAGCAGTGTATTTTTAAACAGGCAAGGAAGAAAAATTATTATGTTCTTTCTTGCAGGTATTTTTCTTAAATGTTTTTATTGTCTTTGATCTTCTTTTGTGGCTTAGGAGAGTAGGGAGTAGGGATGTTGCAAAGTAAAGTGGAGAGTTAGTCATTATGTCTCTCTATTTCTCTCTCTCTGTCTCGCTCTCTTGCTTTGTTTCTCTCTCTATTTCTCTGTGTGTACGTGCGTGTGTGTCTGTCTGATCTTTAGATCCCACGGCGGGTGAAGGTGGTGGAGGGAGACTCTCTGTATTTTAAATTGGTCAGTCCAGTGGATGTATGTAGCAAAGTGGCCCCAGGGTTGGCGTCCACATTCAGGGTCCTCTTTATACCTCAGGAGAACAAGGTACTGTCAACACAAAAATTATATATTTTTTCATGGCAACACACTTAACAAACAACTGGAACACTGTAAAGTTGCAATAAACTATTACGTTTTATTTTAATGCTATGGATCAAAGCAAACAAGTGTTTCCAACTTTATTCCAACTTTATTCAATCTATTGATGCTCATGAAATTTCCTCTTTCTGATTTAAAACGAAAAACATCTTTCTTATGTTCTGAACATTACTGAAAGAAATGTAGGCCTAGTTATGAAACCAATCTCATTCATTACCCTTGGTCTGAATGAAAGATTTCAATGCTTCAGGTTTTCGTCTTCAGTAATGACAACACGGTGAAACATCAATATCAAAGCTCATATTCCTTGTTAATGCGCCTCTGCACTGTAATTCTATCAGAGAGTGTGCTTTGATGAGCATGGGCATGAGAGGGAATGTTTCCACCACCGCCTACTCTCATTCCATTAGCTGCCATTCTCCAGGCTCTAATATGGCCAGGTAATCTGCTTTGCTCTGCTTGCACATTAATACAGAGTGCAGTTGTTAGAGAGATTCAGGGCCCTTGGCAACATAATCAGGCCTGGAGCCAACTCATCTGTATGGAGACAATAGGGAGAGATGAGGACTGTTTGGATGACAGACTCCCGAAAAAACAACATACTTCTTCTAAATGTCATGACAAGATGTGAACAATTGGAGCAGCAGTGAACCTTTGGTTATGCATGTGTTATAGTTCCAAGACATTGTTGATCAGGACATGTCCTTCATGCACCACATGAGACAGCATCCAATAAGAAACTGATCAAAGTTTAATCTGAAATCTACCGCTGTGCTGTCCTTGTGAACTTCATAAAGTAAGCTCTCCTCCCCTCTCTCCCAGGACTACATCCACAGGCTCATCTGTGTGACAGAGAGGGAGAGGTTTGAGGTTCCTATCCGGGCGATCGGGGCGCGGGCCATCCTAGACTTCCCTGACCACCTGCACTTCTCTCTGTGCCCTGTGAAGTGTTCCTCACAGAAGACCCTGCTGGTGCGCAACATTGGCAACTGTGAGGCCAAGTTCCAGCTAAGCACACACAGGTGAGAGATGATCTATGGTAGGAGTCTGTTCTAGTCTCTAGTCTGTTCTAGCCCAAGTACTCCATGCTAAACCAACCATTTCTACCTGTCCATGCCTTTGTTCTGCCAAGCCCTTTTTCAGTGGAGCCCCCTCTTGGAACTATTGGTGTTGGAGAGAGCATGCAGGTGACAGTAGACTTCCTCCCCAAGACTGCAGGAGACCACAGCCAGGACCTGCTGCTTCACTACCATACAGGTGCATTACCATTACTATGAAGCAGCAGCTACACCACACAGGTCTGGCTAGACAAGATTCAGTATCATTTACATTTACATTTACATCATTTAGCAGACGCTCTTATCCGGAGCGACTTACAAATTGGTGCATTCAACTTATGATAGCAAGTGGGACAACCACTTTTTTTCTTCTTTTTTTTTATGGGAGGGTGGGGGAGGGGGGGGGGGGGGGGGGGTAGAAGGATTACTTTATACTATTCCAGGTATTCCTTAAAGAGGTAGGGTTTCAAGTGTCTCCGGAAGGTGGTCAGTGACTCCGCTGTCCTGGCGTCGTGGGGGAGCTTGTTCCACCATTGGGGTGCCAGAGCAGCAAATAGCTTTGACTGGGCTGAGCGGGAACTGTGCTTCTGTAGAGGTAGGGGAGCTAGCAGGCCAGAGGTGGATGAACGTAGTGCCCTCGTTTGGGTGTAGGGTCTGATCAGAGCCTGAAAATAAGGAGGTGCCGTTCCCCTCACAGCTCCGTAGGCAAGCACCATGGTCTTGTAGTAGATGCAAGCCTCAACTGGAAGCCAGTGGAGTGTGCAGAGGAGCGGGGTGACATGAGAGAACTTGGGAAGGTCGAACACCAGACGGGCTGCGGCGTTCTGGATAAATTGTAGGGGTTTAATGGCACAGGCAGGGAGCCCAGCCAACAGCGAGTTGCAGTAATCCAGACGGGAGATGACAAGTGCCTGGATTAGGACCTGTGCTGCTTTCTGTGTAAGGTAGGGTCGTACTCTGCGAATGTTGTAGAGCATGAACCTGAAGGATCGGGTCACCGCTTTGATGTTAGCAGAGAACGACAGGGTGTTGTCCAGGGTCACGCCAAGGCTCTTTGCACTCTGGGAGGAGGACACAATGGAGTTGTCAACCGTGATGGCGAGATCATGGAGCGGGCAGTCCTTCCCAGGGAGGAAGAGCAGGTCCGTCTTGCCGAGGTTCAGCTTGAGGTGGTGATCCGACATCCACACTGATATGTCTGCCAGACATGCAGAGATGCAATTTGCCACCTGGTTATCAGAAGGGGGAAAGGAGAAAATTAATTGTGTGTCGTCTGCGTAGCAATGATAGGAGAGACCATGTGAGGATATGACAGAGCCAAGTGACTTGGTGTATAGAGAGAATAGGAGAGGGCCTAGAACTGAGCCCTGGGGGACACCAGTGGTGAGAGCACGTGGTGCGAAGACAGATTCTCGCCACGCCACCTGGTAGGAGCGACCTGTCAGGTAGGACGCAATCCAAGAGTGAGCAGCGCCGGAGATGCCCAACTCGGAGAGGGTGGAGAGGAGGATCTGATGGTTCACATTATCAAAGGCAGCGGATAGGTCTGGAAGGATAAGAGCAGAGGAGAGAGAGTTAGCTTTAGCAGTGTGGAGAGCCTCCGTGACACAGAGAAGAGCAGTCTCAGTTGAATGACCAGTCTTGAAACCTGACTGGTTTGGATCAAGAAGGTCATTCTGAGAGAGATAGCAGGAGAGTTGGCAAGAGACGGCACGCTCAAGAGTTTTGGAGAGAAAAGAAAGAAGGGATACTGGTCTGTAGTTGTTGACATCGGAGGGATCGAATGTAAGTTTTTTGAGGAGGGGTGCAGTATCCTTGGAACTTTATAAATGGTCACCATTATACTGATGTTAGACATGCATCTATACTCTACAACCATCTACATCCAACCCCCCCCCCCAACGTACAAACCATACACAATATACACTGAGTGTACAAAACATTAGGAGCCCTTTTGCCCTCAGAACAGCCTCAATTCTTCTGGAAATGGACTCTTCAAGGTGTCGAAAGCGTTTCACAGGGATGCTGGCCCATGTTGCCTCCAATGCTTCCCACAGTTGTGTCAAGTTGGCTGGATGTCCTTTGGGTGGTGGACTGTTCTTGACACACACGGGATACTGTTGAGCATGAAAAACCCATCAGCGTTGCAGTTCTTGACAAACCGGTGCGCCTGGCACCTACTACCATACCCCATTCAAAGGCGCTTAAATATTTTGTCTTGCCCATTCACCCTCTGAATAGCACACACACAATCCATGTCTCAATTGTCTCAAGGCTTAAAAGTGACATCAGTAAGAGATCATAGATTTCACCTGGATTCACCTGGTCAGTCTCAGTCTATGTCATGGAAAGAGCGGGTGTTCTTAATGTTTTGTACACTCAGTGTACACCTCTCCCCAGAGTCCCCACAGATAGGCCCACTCACTTTGCATTACACTAGCACACAAGTACTTGCTCTTCACTAGTAAGGTACTTCACAGAAACACATGCATACACACACTCACGTTACATATGATTTTTGCATAAAGATAATCAACTACATCAAATGGAGTGGAACTAAAAGGATGAATCTGTTTATACATTCGCTGTGAACAAAATAATTAAATATCCCCTTCATAATGACCCTGCAGCAGGAATGGTAAAACAGTGTTAATCATTTCAGGGGCATTTATTCACACAGTCTTTAATCTCTGCTCTTTCACACAGGTTGCACCTAGCGGAGAGGGAAAACACCCTAATTAGCATATGTCCTATTATGAGTGTGGATGGTTGGGGGTGCTGGTGTTATCTGTTGCCTATAGCAGTGGTCAGCCCAGTTAGAATGGGCAGCCCCTGGAGACACATATCTCTTGTTTTGTTTGTGTGATTATACCAGTTAATGGTTTGAGATATTGATAGAACTCTATTGGAAACCCCGATATGTTATCTGTTCCAGATGGAATGTAAGCGGATGTGCAGTTATTTTTGGCTCAATTCAAGATCATAAACTGTCCCATGTTTGTGATTGTGATGATGGGTAGTGCTGGCAAAGTGACCTTGTAGAATTCCAAGGTGATTGTGGTGTTAAAGATTGATAAAAGGGTTTAGACTATGGTGAAATCCAGACTTGATGGAGGATTTAGAGTGGTCCCCCTTTATCACTTAATTCTTTTGACAAGCCTTTGGTATAATTGAAAGTTGATAAAAGGTGAATTAAGATGTGATGGAGAACTGTATCTGTGTGAGATACAGTAAACCAATTAAAAGACAGAGTACTTGATTGATGAGTGTGTGTGTGTGTGCATGTGCATGTGCATGAGTGTGTGCGTGCATCCGTGCGTGCATGCGTGTTTGTGTGCGAGTGCACGCATGTGTGTATCAGTTTGGCTCAGGTGGTGCTTGGTGGTCTGCTGTCTCACTGCATAAACACACAGGTCTAGTGAAGGGCAGCAGCATTAACATTTTATAATGTGCTCTTCTCTAAAAAGACCACTTTAGGCCCATCAGGGTTGTATCATTTTTAATTCAGCACCTTTCCCTGTCTCCTTCTCATGTATGTTTCAGATTAAGCTGCTCTGGAGGTTACCCTCTGGAGCCAGTGAACGGAGCAAATCATGAGTATCTTGTCAAGAAGTACGGAACAAGTAGTACTGTACATTTTTGATCCATGAACATGTCATTTCAAACATGGTAAAATTTTGGCAGGGGTGGTTGCATTTATCTCTCCCTGGTTTAGCAGTGATTCTACTGTACATACAGTGTCCATCTATGCTAATCAATCCATCTATTGATTTATTAATTTGCCCTCCAGGAGCCTTCATCTAGGACAAATGTACATATTTTATAGGATTTTTTAATTTTTTTAATTTAACCTTTATTTAACTAGGCAAGTCAGTAAAGAACAAATTCTTATTTACAATGACGGCCTACACCGGCCAAACCTGGACGACGCTGGGCCAATTGTGCGCTGCCCTATGGGACTCCCAATCACGGCCGGTTGTGATACAGCCTGGAATGGAACCAGGGGATCTGTAGTGACGCCTCAAGCACTGAGAGACAGTGCCTTAGACCGCTGCGCCACTCGGGAGCCATAGTAGCCGAAGCGTGACAAATTAGGCTCCTTTGCTCAAGGCTGTGACTGCTAATACTGAGATTCAATATGACAACCATCTAGCTAGATATGAATCCAGCTCCCCTGTCACTGCTATGTAATTTTCCTAAAATTAACACAATAATGCAAACGGGTCAGGTTTCTATCATTGCTCCTGCCTGGATACTCGGTTTCTACTTGACAGGAGACAATAAATGGGACTCTCTCTCTTGTGCTTGACGTGCTAGATCAGGGGTCCCCAATTACATTCAGCCGTGGGCCGGTTTTTCCTTGAGCGGATGGTCGGGAGGCCGGAACATAGTTATAAATAACTTGTACACTGCAAATTGACCCCAAACAGATATAGTATTTGACAAAAACAGAATCATTTCAAACCTTGATTATATTGGGATACGATCACATATGCCTCTCTATTTATGCGTGGGAATACTTGGGAACAGATTTCCTAAATTAAAATATGTTTGAGCTGATTCTCTGCTGATTTTACAGTATTTTATGTCCAACAACGAAAATTCAAATATCTTTTAATTTTTTTTACTTGGGGGGCCAAATAAAATCACCTGCGGGAAGAATTTGGCCGCCTATTGGGGAACCCTGTTCTAGATAAAAACCAGCAACAATGTTCACACAGGAGAAATGCTATCAGTGGGTTTAAGACAGGCTACCTTTGCTACTGAAATGTATGAATTAGTAATAGTCTTTTAGCTGCTCTCATATTTAGGAGCAAAGAGACAGTTCCTTGATGAGTTTACCCTAGACTCTGCCTCTGCCTTGACTATCTGCAGTCTTTTAGGAAATCGCAGGAGCACACACACACTCACACACGTCTGTTTTAGTATCCTTGTGGGGACCAAACAATTGATTTCAATTTTAAATATTTTTTTCCCTAACACTTACCTTAACGCCAAATCCCTAACCCTAACTCCTTACCCAAATTCTAACCCCTAACCCTAATTCTAACCCTAATCCTAATTGTATCCCTAACCATAAACCTAACCCCTAAGGCTAAAATAGCCTTTTCCCTTGTGGGGACCGGCGAAATGTCCCCCCCCCCCCCCCCCCCCCCCCCAACACACACACACTGCAGCCCTGAAAGGCTCTGCTCACC